TGTTTGACGATGCTCCAGAGGAAAAAAGAAACTTTTATGACGTTCTGACACTTGGACAGTTGATGCGTTATTACAGATGAATGAAGCTAGAACAATTTTGCAACCAAATTACCCTTTTTTTAGGGTAAAATTTTTATGATTCACTGACTGTTGGTTCGCAGCCAGTTTTACTACACATACAAATTAAGATTGAAATACCTGCGACAAGTTATTTTTTGGATAAAAAAGTAAGAAAAAACTGGAAAGTACTGACAGCGAAAAGCAGTTTTTACTCATTTTGTCATAAAGAAATATCGCACTTTACGCATCAGTTAGGGATACTAGGATCCCTTAAGATTTTAAGTTCTTAACTTTAGTGAGCTAAAAAAGAAGAAATGATTTTCAGGAAACTGCCTATCAAATTAAATTTTAATTCAGGCTGAGTCGGTTAAGAAGTTGATAGCAGAACGGGCAAATTCACTCGATGAATTCTCAGAAAAAATTGTTAAATTGGAGAAGGTTGTCCTAGAACGGAGATATTATGAAAAATATCTAAATGACCCTCAAAATTCACGATAGTGCAAAAGGTAAACGTGCTTTCCTCATTCTGCAAAGTGCTATTTGGAAATTTAAGCGAATAATAATACCGGATATTTCAACTTTAGTTCAGAAAAGATAAAGCCAAGAAGAAGCAACTATCTTTTTGAAGAGAGGCATCCTAGTAACTCTAACCGGTATATGAAGTGCGATATTTCTTTATAATAGACTGAGTAGAAACTGCTTTTCGCTTGCCATACTTTCCAGTTTTTTTAAAATTTTTTTGTCGGAGAATGACCATTCACAGATGTCTTTTAAAGGGTGTTTAATAAAAATATCATCACTTTTTGCCAATATGCATGAATATCCCATCGTCAAAAGTTAGAATGAGAGCAAAAGTGTGTAGCTTTAAAGCAGTTGAAGGACTTGGAAGGTAATTTAGATACTTATGAATTTCTTTTCGCACGATACGGTCTTTGAAGCTCTCATTTGGTAGCTGTTTTTCCGTCCGTTCTGAGTGAGCTCGACAATAACAACCGAAAGGCTTTGAGCACAACTCACCCTGAACGGCAGCAATCTTCTGTACGAATTTATCAGCAGCTCCCCAAATACTGTGCGTTTAAACAAGCCATTTACCACAGCTATATAAACGACGGTGATTTTTTTTAGTAGATTTTCCCAAAATTCTTAGGTATTGCTTAAAAATGTGAAAAAAATAGGAGCCAAATAATGACTTGAGATTGAAGAAAGGCCCATTATGGTAAAAATTATAGTGTATCTGCAAAAAAATGTTTAAAAAAGGAAAATAAGAAAATAGATAGCTGTAGAACTGAAAATAACACCGGATAAATTAATGAGAAGGTATCCAGTTTTGCAATTAGAAATAAAACGGCACTAATATGTGGACTTTAAAAAGAAATTGATCGGGTTTCTTGAAGTTCTATTTTAATGAATTTTTGTTAAAAAAATTAATTAACTCAGTTTTTCACTGATATTTCGCTTCTGTGTATTCCAAATCTAATATTTTTTTCTTGTAGTGCATTTAAACTCCGCAATCTCAAACAGAGCAATTTTACCGGAGACTTTTGAATGAGGAAAGATCAGAAGTCACTTCACTGAACTATATTTGCAACCAGGAAAGAAAAAAAGAAAAAAAAACAACTGATTTGCACCGGTTGTTGGGTACCTTACACATCATTTCTTTCAGTGCACTATTTGATTAGGCCTGGCTTCGTTTGCGTTCTTCAAAGCGCCGTAAAGAAATAAAAGGGTAAGAAATTATCATGATTTCTTCTTCACTTTCGCATTTGCCGTTTTCGCTCCTTTTAATTTTTAGAAGTTGGAAGGAAGATAATATCTGGTATTTTCATGTCGTTAGATTTCGTTCTGAAATATTGTATTTTCGATCAAGTATATCAAAAAATTTATCTTTACACAACATAAATTTCTATGATTTTTCCAGCGACCGATGTCAAGTGTTGGCGATTTGGGCAGTGGAGCAGGAAAGGTATTTTTTGGCCAGTATACTGTCAAGAGACAGATTTGTTATATACGATACTGAAATAAAACTTTAGTTACAGGATAACTTTTTAGGGAGGTGGTGCAGGAGGTGCAGTCCGTGAGGGTGGTGGAGCTTTGGGAAGATCTGGAGCAGCAAAAGAGGAGCAGTATTTTCATGAGCAAGTCTGTAGCATTACACTCTAATTCATGATTTCCACTATTTTTACTCATGATAGGTGAACAGCGGGAAAGATTGCAATGAAATATTTCAGAATGAAAAACAGTTAAAAGAACTTGGCAAAAAAGTTGAGCAGCAAACTGCAAAAGACGTTTTAAAACAGCTGGGTGATTATGACGCTGTTAGCAAGCAGGAATGATTTTAAAGCAGCGGATAGTAAAACAGTGGATCAACTAGGATTTGACCTGTCTCTCCAAGCAACCATTTAGATTAATAACGCTACGTTGTTGTATATCTCTAGATAATTTCGTTTGAGAATATGTATATCATCTCGTGAAGATTAAGTTGCATTGTCTTTTTTAATATAATGCTTTTTTTCTTTTTAGGTTATGTAACGTCTCAGAACTTTAATGTGTATTCTTAAACGAATAACCGGGCAGTTCTTTCAGGACAGAGTTGTATAATTTTTGGATTTTTTCGTGATATCCAAAACTTGATTATGTTATGGAAAAGTGTTGAACAAGGGAAAGCATTTTAGGGGAACGAAATATGGACCACTATCCATAATTTTCTTTAAAAGGTCAATATAGTCTTCTTGATACATGAATACTCTAAACGTCTAAACGTTTGTTTTCCTTTTTTGTTTTTCCTTCTGTAAACGCTTATTACGCTTAAAATTAATTGCACTCGGTTAAATGTAATTTGAGCAAGAAGTCTAGTTCTTTTCAACACTCAGTGGCGTTCCCTCTCTATTGAAGAGAGTTGTTTTCCATTTTGAATGACATGGTGGTATTAATATCTTCACTGCGACACTGCAACGGCAAATCAGTTTGCCAGCACTTACCGGTTGATCTTCAAATAAGATTGTTTTTGTTACCTTTCCGTAAAGGCTCTGTTGATGAGTTACTTGTAGTCAGATTCATCGATTATGAAATTTATGCTTTTTTAGTAGGAAAGTTGATGACGCATGTTACAAGTCGCATCTTCGGAATGGTTTTTAAACGAATAATCACTCGATGAGACATTAAAAAACTCGATAATCAGCGTTTGCTGTGAGTGATTTATTACTTTGAAGCCGTAAAAGTGAGAGGAAGGAGCTAAGGTGGGACTTCAATCTATCGTTAATAGTAGTTAGAACTTGACTGGATATAGGGATTCCGTACGCTTCTTTCGTCTTATTCTTCTTTAAATTACGCGTCAGATGTGACTCGCTAGGTGTTCTACATGATATAGAAATTGATATATGACGGCGTCAACCGTACTTACACCTTGTCCTCCTAATCACTCCAAAGTGTAATTATGTTACAGAGTGGTTCCAATTTCATATTTTTGCGGAGTGCTTTATTGTTTCTTTGTTTTCAACCATATAGGGATCCTAAAATCTTCATTCTAGGCCTGGGTTTACAGTTTCTTTTACTGTTAGTGTCTGTGGCAGTCCCAAATCTAAAATTTTTTAAACCATCCGAGGTTAGTTCTCGAATGCCAAAATTTAGTAAAAAACTTGTTTAGCTTTCTACAGATTGCTCTAAAGAATCCGCAGCAGCAGCTCACTCAAAACTTCTTTAGTTATACAAAGTTCTATCGTCCTAACTCTTTTTTTTACCCTCACCACTTTTATTTAAGCTGAAAGGTTGCTAAAAAGTTATCAAGAAATGGCAGCTAAAGAACCGTACCTATTAATTTTTACAGCTGTTTTCAGACTACAAGTTTTTTCTGGAAAACATTGCAAGCAAATGTCATCCATTTATCTCGTTGAAAATCTGATAATACTTATAAGATTTATCCTTCTAAGCAGCTTAGATGCTAAACTTTTTATCTAGCAGTTTCAAAACCAACCAACAACTGGGCAAAAAACTAAAACAAAAATTTCTCATAAATCACCCAGTTAGTTTAAACTTTATATTGCAAAAAATTTTAAAACAGTTTTTGGTGCACTGTTTGGATGCGGTGCAGTACTTACTAAGACGGTAATGAAACTTAGAGCTAAGGCGTTGATGTTGCTATAACTTCTAGAATTCTACTGAGAAAATGTGCAGAGCCATAGTTTTTATTATTGAGGAGGAGTTTATCATTTAACTTTTTTCAAATTTTGAGTTTTATTAGAACAAAGTTAATACCAAACGAATGAGATAAAGTCATCAATTAGTGAGAAAAGTATTCGAAAAATTAAAAACTGCAGTAAAAGAAGTGATAATTTTTCAATTAGTATTCAAAAAATGATGTTTGCCCAAATTGGTTTAAGTTTTTTTTTCTTGAAACTTAATATCAGATGAAAAACAGTTTCCTTTCGCTTACTTTACTGATTGCACAATCTCTATGGAGAAGGCAAAAAGCAATTGCACAACGTCTGCGATTAGGAGTGCGGATATACGTTAACAAATAAAGAAACAAACAAACAGGAGTACATCACAAACAATAAAAACACCTTTTGTCATGTTACTGTGGATGAAAAAACTATTCGTCATAAAATATTTACAACGACAAATCTGACGAAATACTTTCTTGTCCCAAACACCATCTTAGGTAAGTTTAAATTAATTAATACATTAATTAATACATTAATACTACACATTATTAACGCTGATTTCTGGATAGCAATATTCCTAAACAGTTTCAGTAATGATTTTAGAGAAAATTTCACCAGCGAAAAACTTGCAGTTTATCTCTGTTTTTTTTCGCAAAAAATGAAAGGACATCATCTTTTGTTTGTGTTTGCTATAGTTGTTTTGTTTGCTGCAAAAAAATATATTCTCTTGAATTTACTTCAATGAGGAATAAAAATTAAATTTCTAAACGGTACTAGCAAGATGTTCAATCTTTAAAAGAACTTGATTTTTTAGAAAGGTGATTCTTTCTCAACATTCCTGTCTTTCATTCACATACATAATCAATTACTATACTTATGGCTTTTAGATGAGCATTAAGAAATGTTTTCTGGCAAAAACTTTTAGAAACGGTTAAATATTACAGTCGACTTCTCAGTTTTTCTGCAAACTGCCGAAGTCTTCTGATCCGAGACGGTACCGGATATTTGAATGGTTTTTCGGCTTTTTCAAAACTAATGCCCTTTAATGGAGCTTTGGTCCAATGGTCAGAATGTTGACTGAGCTGACTTTGCACTGGATAGATATTTAACTGAAATAATTATTATAATACTAATTATCAATAAACTTTTCTGCCTACTGGAATGGTTTGTGCCAGAGAAGAAAAGTAAGAATG